GAGAAAGACACCTGTCCTGTGGATTATCATATTTCAGCTGTTATATATTCATATAAAATGTGCAAGATGATAATTGTACCTCAATATACGTATTTAGCAGCAGTTGGTACCATGTCAATATCTTCCCACTGGGTGACTTACAGTTGCCATGAAAGGAAACGCAGCAGCCGTGAATAAGAACCTCAAGCACAAAATGTCTGTATCCACCTTTCATATGAGATTAGACTATTTGGACTAATTGGAAAGCGCTGGTCATTTCTTTATTTATGTGGCGCATTCAATGCATTGAGACAAGAATACTGAGCCACTACAGCATGTAAAAGCACAGCATTACACACTCAACATATCTCACTTCAGCCTTATTATTCAACAACACTGTTTCGTAAAGGGATATTTCACCCTCAAATGTTATCATTTACTCATAATAAGATATTTAGCAGAATGTCCCGGTTGCTTTTGTCCTTGCAGTGAGGTATTGTGACCTGAACTGTCAAGCTCTAAAAAGGACTATATTCATGCTCTTAAACATGAAATGGACTATTATGTAATCACATGGAAAGGATTATATTTTCCATTTTCAGTCTGCTGACTTTTTTATTTTTTAATCACAAATCATTTGCATGAAGCGGCTGAGACTGTTTTTCCTAGTGGCACGGCATTTACGTTTTACAATTTGGCCTAAAACCTTCGCAAGACCAGAGATACACCTAGTCCTGCGCCATCCAAGCAAATGCTACTGAGAGGAATGGAAATACCATCTGATCTTTTTTGTCATTTTTAAATCTTGCCAGTTAATTGTCACCATCCTTTTTTCACTGTATAAGCTGCCTCTATTTTCACTTAACCTTCATCCGTCCCTCGGGTCATTTTGACCCAAAAAAGATTTTTAAAGAATTCTAAAAATCGTGTGTTGATCGTACTGGTCCAAGATTTCTTTACTTTTGTCACACTTGCACCGGGTATACACACACACACACAAGCTGTGTCTCATTTAGAAGACTGCGTCCTCCGGAGGTCGCATTCGAAGGCTGCATACGTCATCAAGGCTGTCTCATTTCAGAAAAGCAATTAGGACACTCCGAATGTGACCTTCGAATGCGACCTTCTTTCACGGGAATTCAGAGGATACATGAGGTGTATCCTTCGCTGCTACAGATAACCCACAATTCTTTGCGTCGCCGTGAACAACCGTTGTTAATTTGAAAAATGCCGGCGCCGGCAGATGTAACGTACACACAAGCGCAGATGTGGTGTTTACAACTTACCTTAAATCGCCTCGGTAAAAACGGATAAACTTTGTTTTTAATATACTCCTCCTTTTTTTCTCTAATAGATGCCTGCTGTACGTTCGCTGCAGCTCCTCAAACATTGAACAAAATATAACAAGTAAAAGCATTTTTTTTTCAAATTACTTTCCAAATTTAGAAATAATTTTCCTTCATTTAAGTAGTGTGAGAGCGCAACGATGCTCTAAATGTGTTGGCATAGCAACGCGATACTTCCGGTTTCCTTTTCCGCCCGTCCTACGAAGGCCGTCTCGTTTAATACTAGGTTGAGGACACTTTGTATATGCATCCTACAGAGGATGCGACCTCCAGAGGATTCGACCTCCGGAGAGTGCAGCCTTCTAAATGAGACACAGCTATCGTATCATTGCTGTTCATAAGCACAGCTCTGCTTTGTTTACAGAAACTCACATACACACACGCACGCACACACACATGCACAAACACACACATGGTACACACACTCCCATAGAACATATTATAATATGTTTCATCTTTCTGATGGGATATGACTGTCCTTTTTCCATTTTTTTTTTAATTAACACAGTTAAATTTGAGATATGTGGTGGAGACCAATGAGTTTATATCATATTAATATATTTTTTAAATATATTATATATTTATTTCATATTTATGAAATTGTAGGAATATACATATGTTTAGGTTATAATTCAGTTATAGTTTTTTTTTTAAATATGGATTTTGTAATGTTTCAATATATATTTAAATCCATAAACAACCAAATTGAAGCCTTAAGATGATCTCATTTCTCATGTTTCACTTGTTTTGCTCAGTTAAAAATCTCTATAGGGTTCTATAGGCTTCTCTAGTGGCTGTCACCATAAAATGCAATTGTATGTAATTTTCCCCACCAGATGGCATTAGAGACACTCAGTGACTCAATTCCAAGGACATCTGTTGGTTTTTGATGAAACGGGACTGAAATTGTGTCTTTATTATTATTATTTATTTATTTTTGGTGAAATAATGTACAAAAACTGCTTATTTGCTTATATTTTCTTAAAAATATCCAGAATAAAGCTAAATGTCATAAAAATGACCAAAAAGTAATAGAAAAACCTACATAAATATTTAGAAAAAAATATATAAAAATGGATCAATATAAGATTTCTGGACCAAAAAAAATGATTAGTGTCATTTTTAGTCTTGGGGTCATTTTGACTCGCGAAGGACACTTTTGTTACAGGTTCGGGAGGGACGGATGAGGGTTTAAAGAGCTCCTTTTGTGCTCAATGTGAGGATTAAACCAATGGAGTTCTGATCAACAATTTGTAAAGATAACGAGATGATAGTAAACCAGTTTTTGGTTGAAATATCCCTTGCTTTAAATGTGGCATTAAAACTAATCATTACTCAATTCATTTTTCCTGTACGAGTCTGAATTTACTCCTAAAATGAGCTAAAACATTTATTGACAAATCCCTTTTTTTCTGCTGCTTCTTCATTTTATTTTTTTTTTACACTTTATATATACATTTATTTATTTTTATTATTATTTTATTTATTCATTAATTTTTTTGCAAGAGCAGGGCAGTACATTCACATTGCTTTTTGCTTAAGATGCTGTAAGGCTGCCAGGTAAAGGAAATAGCTAAAAAGCCAGGTATTTATATGCTGCTTTCTAACGCCTTATGAATGTAAGCAGCAGTTTTGCTTAGAGGATAGACAGTACCGCTAGCAACATAGCAAACAGCCATCTCTAGATAGTTAGGCCTGGAACCAGGGCGAAAAATCCCGCAGTCAGAGTTGTGGACAGTTAAAATTCATCATTGTGCCAGTAAAAATAATTAATAACTGCTGTTAAATAACTGTTGTATTTACAAATATAAGGTACTGAATCTAATGCTGCTGTTGGTTATTATTTAGTCCACAATCGAGGTAATAAAGAACCTAAAGCCAAATTAGAAATAAAAAAGTGAATTGTTGCCACCCAACAAAATATGGTATTTGAATTCAACAATTCATCATAGAGACCCCTATTGCACACCCGGGTTTCTGTTCTCAAAAGTGACAAGGCAGATGGACACATTGTTGTGCAAATGCTGGACCGAAAAGTGTGATATACAAAAAGCATAACTGTCTAAACTAAAATAAATATATTTCTTTTCAACAAACCAGTGACCATAAATATGATAATCCGAGATGAGACACTATGTTAAACCTCCCTTTAAAAAGTCCACAGGTGGTTTATAGTGCTGTGCAGAAAAGGAGAGGAGGGGGCTTCTACATTTTAGAGTATAAAGCAGCACCATTTACAGTAATATTATTAAAGTTTCTTTTGCACCTTTATATGTCACAGACTACCTTGAGTGGTGAACATTGAGGAAGATTAGTGTTGTAAATATTTCTCTGTAAATGTTTTTGTGTAAAACCGGTGGTCAGTCAATGAAAGTCAAGCTATGACTGAATGATATCAAGGCCTTTTTGGGCTGAATGGACTTTAAACCTTAGCCATCGAATAAAATTATTTTTTTAAACTCTCTTTGACACTCCAGTTAAGTCCAGAACTAGATTTAATCTCCATTAACCCTGAAGCTAAAACTAAATTGAAGTCTAGAAGCAAAACCTTCGTGCGAATCCCCCACTGCGACAACATCACGAGGATCAAGATCAACATTTCCGTTGGAAATACAAATGTGGATCATTTAAGAAGTAGAACTGCTTTGTAACGCCTTTTGAGCAGTAAAGACTTTGCAACCTTAAAGAAATTGCTATCTTAAATTTGCTTATTTAAATCTAAACTCCATACTAAGTCAAGTTTAGAGTCATTTTAGTTTTCTGTTCGTGGGAATGATGCTGTGGATGAAGTGACTATGCTGTGACATTAGTTTTGTGCCAGTGCTATAGAATACATTTTCTGAAAGGAGTGTTAACTGTGCCTACGCTGAGGGCTAGACTTTGGCTTTGTTCAGACAGGCAGCAAAAATCAGATTTTTTTAAAAAAAATTTTGGAGTCTGATGTTTCCAAATTGCATCAATATGTGGTCTGAAATTGGTTTAAAATCTTTTGGAATGTGTCTGAACAGTCAAATTAGTTTTTAGTCATTCCAAAAGCCTCACATTCCGTATGTCTCTTTTTTCTTATTTTTTTCCCCCTCATATATACAATTATATGACATTTGATGGAGCCCCTAAGGGGACATGGTGTTGGAAAAAAATATGAGATGGGAATGAAAATGATATGTGATCCTGGACCACAAAACCAGGTCAATTTTACAAAATTGAGATTTATATATCACATGAAAACTGAGTAGATACGCTTTCCATTGATGTATGGTTTGTTAGGATAGGACAATATTTGGCCGAGATACAACTATTTGAAAATCTGGAATCTGAGGGTGCAAAAAAAAAAATCTAAATATTGAGAAAATCGCCTTTAAAGTTGTCCAAATGAAGTTCTTAGCAATACATACTACTAATCAAAAACTAAGTTTTCATATATTTACAGTAGAAAATTTACAAAATATCTTGATGGAACATGATCTTTACTTAATAACCTAATGATTTTTGGCATAAAAAAAAAATCCCATATACCCATATAATGTATTTTTGGCTATTGCTACAAATTTTCCCCCCAGCGACTTAATACTGGTTTTGTGGTCCAGGGTCACATATTTCTAAGCATTTTCTCGCAAAAGTATTGTGTTCCCTCAAGAAACATTGCAGTGGTTCACAAATCTTTTTTGTGTTCTTTCGCAAACGTAAAAGAACACATTTCTTGCGTTGCCCCAAGAAATGTTGCATTCACCCACAAAAGCATTGGAATATAGCCACCTCATATTATTTACAACATAAACGTTTCGCAAGCGAATGAAAAGTTTCTCAGGGGAACGCAAAGGTTTTTGTGCAAGAACACAAACGTTTAGTGAGAAAAAGCAACATTTCTTAGGGGAAAGCAAAGGTTTTGTGAGAAGCGCAAACGTTTCACAAGAAAGCGCAAAGCTTCTCAGGGAAATGTAAACGTTTTTTTGAGTGAACGCAAACGTTTTGTGAGAGAATGCGAAGTTTCTCAGGGGAACGCAAAGGTTTTTGTGCAAGAACACAAACGTTTAGTGAGAAAAAGCAACATTTCTTAGGGGAAAGCAAAGGTTTTGTGAGAAGCGCAAACGTTTCACAAGAAAGCGCAAAGCTTCTCAGGGAAATGTAAACGTTTTTTTGAGTGAACGCAAACGTTTTGTGAGAGAATGCGAAGTTTCTCAGGGGAACGCAAAGGTTTTTGTGCAAGAACACAAACGTTTAGTGAGAAAAAGCAACATTTCTTAGGGGAAAGCAAAGGTTTTGTGAGAAGCGCAAACGTTTCACAAGAAAGCGCAAAGCTTCTCAGGGAAATGTAAACGTTTTTTTGAGAGAACGCAAACGTTTTGTGAGAGAATGCGAAGTTTCTCAGGGGAATGCAAAAGTTACGCAAGAGAATGCAAGGGTTCTCAGAGAAACGTAACAGAACGCAAATGTTTTGTGAGAGAATGCAGTTTCTCAGGGGAACGCAATATTTTTTCAAGAGAATGCGAGAGTTTTGTGAGAGAACTTAAAATCATTTAAATATAATTTTCCATCACCATGTCCCTATGGCTCCATAAAACTCATGTCATAAATAGTGAGTGAATGAGTCAGTGGTTTTGGACACAGTATGTGCATGAATGTTAATATAATAATTGCTAATGAGCTAATCGCTCTCACACATCTCATGGCGGGATTGTTACTTATATCACTACTATTGCAACCGTGTCCTAATTGCATCATAAAAATTGGATGTGAAAACCAAATCGGATTTGTGTGCAGTGTTGACAAAGCCTCAGTTTTGGCCTCGGAATAACCTTAAAACTGAAATACAAACTGGGTTGCAGTAGCTGCAGGCCTTGGAGTGCATAGACTGCCATGACCTCTTTGCATTGAGCTCTGTTTGAGGCATATATAAACTCACCACTATTCTCAGCTCAGAGTAGATGATGAGCAGAGGAAGAATACTTGTAACAGATGGGAAAATGTGTACGGGCGGAGCAGTGACATGGAGCAGAATGGATGTACCCTGTTGTTATGTGTGTTTCATAAACGTGTTTGGGCTTCAGGGATGTAGATCTCTATGCTGTCAGCCCGCTCTGTAACTGAGCTCTGACGGAAAGACGCAGCCCGTTTTGCAGCTAGAAGCCTACGGCGGGCCTCTTGCCTCTGACGGTCCTGCAGATCCAAGGATCGCTCGCGCATGACAGCTCCACGACCTTTAGGAGGCCTCTTTGTAACAGGAGGTGGCCATTTTCTTTCCTGAGGTAAAGAAGTAGAGTTTGTTATAATTTCCTTTTCTTATTTATTGTGAAAACAAATGCACAAAATGAACTTAGTGGGAAAAAAATTAACTGACAGCTCTCATTTAAACAGAAAGAACTGATATTGACAGAGACAAAAGCATCACTATATTACATTTTTTAAATTAAATGATAAAAAGATTAAGGCTTTTGATTTTACTGTGATGTTGAATGGCTATATTTACTAATTTTATCCCAGGAATTCCGTATTAGTAATTATATATACATGTTGATATGCAAATATATATAAACTATCAGTGTTGTGGAAAGTTACTTTTAAAATTAATACATTACAATATTGCGTTACTCCCTAAAAAGTAACTAATTGCGTTACCTAGTTACTTTTTATGGAAAGTAATGCGTTAAATAAATTTTGTGTTACTTTTTCTCATCTGGCCTGGGCTTGCTTGTTTGTTTTTAATATAAAAAAAGTTATATTTTTGGCAAATGTAAAAGCCCTTTCACACCAAAAGTGAAATGAATAAGGCTGAAGGAAATGGGTCCCACTTTATATTAAGTGGCCCTAATACCTGTGTACTTACATAGTAACTAGATGTGTACGTAGTCTGTAACCACAGTGTAAGTACACATTGGTCCATAGTATCTAGAGCTGTAATGTTTGTGTAACTACACATATGTAACAACCCACTGAATGGTATGTGTAAGTACAAATGTGTAACAGGACATTGGTAACAACACTTTTTGGTAATGAAAGTACAAATGTGTAACAGGACTAACAGCACTTTTTGGTAAAGAAAGTGTTACACTTTATATTAAGTGAACAATTCCTATGGATTTACCATGCAATTAATCTGATGTTACACAGCAGCGGCCAGTAAGTTAGGCTTTACATATAAATTGTGGTTGGTGTCCATAAACCTACCCATCTCCACCCCTGGATCAAATTTCCACCCCTAAACCTACCCATCTCCAAATTGTCAAATTGTTCCAATTACTCTTATACATATTGTTGTTACAAAATGTAGTTATATATGTCCTGTTACACATTTGTACTTACACAAACCATTCAGTGGGTTGTTACATATGTGTAGTTACAAAAATATTACAGCTGTAGATACTATGGACCAATGTGTACTTACACTGTGGTTACATACTACGTACACATCTAGTTACTATGTAAGTACACAGGTATTAGGGCCACAATATAAAGTGGGACCGTTGAATTGGATCACTGAAGGTCAGCACTGGTTAATAACGTGATTAAATACATAAAGGATTTTTGTGTTAACATTAAATTATTGCAGGTTTCTGTAATTTTCTGAGTTTGCTTTTCACTGTTTTTTATTCAAGTGAGATGAGTGAATGCATGTGTTTAGTCTAGAATATTAGTCTAATTTAGTCACATTTACTGTAGTCAATCATGTTTACACAACACACACAACCCCTCTGCACTTACTCCCGATTTCTCTCAACATGAATGCTCCATGTACCTTCTTCTCTGGACTCTCCACCATCCTCCACTCATTACTCTTGATTTGCTGCAGCTCATCAAACTTGGCAGTGACATCATCGATGGAGAGCTGCAGGAGATCCCAGAATCCAGCCAGGTCCTGAGCCGTGGGGCGTGGCATAGCGCTGGGGTCCTGCACAAAACCATTATATGTCACACACTCCTCACAAACATAAACAACAGTTATAAGTTACAGTTCTACCCATAAGTTTACACACCACTTGCAGAATCTCAGGGATCTTTAAAAAATGTTTTTATATATATATATATATATACATACATCTAAAAATAAGAGGAATCATTACAATACATTTTGTTATTTGTTCAGTTCTGTTGATGAAGCTATTTGACATATATACCTATAATTGCCTATTGAGTGTAAATTAATGTTTTGACCCTGTTTAGCTGATAGTTAGTGTGTGAGTCTCTAGTTTGTCCTGAGCAGTGAAGCTGTGTGCTGTTTTTGACAAAAATCCTCTGGGTACAGTAAGTTCTTTTGATTCTCAGCATGCGCTGCACGTTTGAGATCTTCCCCACAGTGGCGCAGTGATATCGAGACCCAGCTTCGCCACTCAGGACAACTGAAGGACTCATACACTCACTTATCACAAACGCCAATGAGCAGGAGGCAGTGCAGATATGTGAACTTTTGAAGAGCATGATTTGTTTCGTTTCAGTTATTTTGTCTTGGGTTCTGGAGCTTTTCCAGTGTCATGTAAAATAATGATAATATAAAAACGTATGAGAAAGGGGTGTAAACTTATGACCCCTTGAGGAATCACATCAAATAAGCATCCTGATCACTATTTACGCATCACTGCACCAAGTGCCATGAATTAATACATTATCATGAATAATCACTAGAGGTCACTGTAGTCCAGCTTCACTTTCATCATCTCTTATCCAAACAATGATACAAATAGAATATTTGCTATTTATTCTGGCTACATCCTCTCTTCTATGTTAATGATGCTTCACTAAACTGTTCAGTCTCTTGGAAGCTCATACTAGAGAGGACAAGCTGGTCTCTGCCTGTCCGTGTGAAAGTATTACAACATCCATCATTTCACAATCTCCAGAGAGAGAGAGAGAGAGAGAGACAGAGAGAGAGACAGAAACAATCACTGACCACTAAACAAACCCTTTAAAGTGTCATTCAGCCCATCAACTACCAATTCATTTCAGGATCGTTTACACTCACACAGCTTGAAACTGGTTAAATGTGAAAGTATTACAACATCCATCATTTCACAATCTCCAGAGAGAGAGAGAGAGAGACAGAGAGAGAGACAGAAACAATCACTGACCACTAAACAAACCCTTTAAAGTGTCATTCAGCCCATCAACTACCAATTCATTTCAGGATCGTTTACACTCACACAGCTTGAAACTGGTTAAAGCTCCTTTCAGGCTGAAATCATATTTAGTGGAGATGACACTGCAACTTATCAATGTGTATTTCAGTCAGCTAGAGACAAAAATGCACAATACATTTAGACCTTTTATAAAATAATATATTGCTTTATTGATCATTTTTGATAATTTTTTTTAACTGTCAATGTGGAAAAAAGTCAACTTAAAGATGTCTGATTAAAATAATATCTTGCACAAGTTTGCTTCTCAAGTTTATTGGCTTTTAAGGATCTTAATCATCTAAAAAAAAAATTTGAACATTATAAGATTCTGAAAAGCTAGTATTTAACCTTGTTTTGACCAAAAACTAAAGACTTACAAGAATGCCAGGTAAACACTTACAAATACTTCCTAATGAACTGCCTTTCAAAGAGGCAAACTGAATCTTTTATGACAGAACTGGTGCATGGTTGATGTATTTTATGATGCAAAAGGAGCATTAAAGTATATCTCATGGGGATCGTAGAAATGCCACATACCAAATTTTGCTGACACAACCAGTAAAACTGCTGGAATTTCTGGGACATGAGGAGGTGAGCACTGCCCACAGCACTCCGGATCTTCCCAAGAACTGCAAAACATTATTAGATAGAAAAATATACACAATATATATATATATACTAAAGTATGTTATTACTTTAAATATAACAATTTCATATATTTATATATTTCTGGTGGCGGTGACAATTTTGTATGAAATTGACCAATGTGAAATACAGAATATATATATACACACAGTTTTGTTTGAAATTATATAGATAGATAGGTAGATGGATGGATAGAAAGATTGTGTTGGTTTTTGTTTTTTGATGACTGCACACTCACTCTCCTCCGACAGGTCGTGCTCCTCAGCCTCACGTTCCATGTCTTTGCACCATCCCTCCAGACGTTTGGTCTCGCTGTGCAGAAGCTGCATGAACCAGCTGCCATCGCGGCGGAGTGGCGACACCCGGCCGGACTCGGCTGCTTCAAGAGCGGGCTCCACCAGCCAGGGTTCAGGCTGCGGACTGGGCGGCCCACTGGAGGGCCTGTAATCCTCACGGTAGCTAAAAAGGCCCTGTGTGCGTACAGTCCTAACCACATTGTACTGTGTGGGTGTACTGGGTTCAGAATGCCGCTGAAATCCTCCAAACTGCAGACTCTTGTCTTCGGTCGAAGGAAACCCCTCCAGCTCCAAATCAGCCTGAACTGCCGTCGTCACACTGTTGGACCGTTTAAAGCGGCCAAGTCTGAAAATGAACAGAAGAATGACAATATTAAAGAAAGCAGTTTCTGTGTTTACACACAGAAAAGGGCTATCTATATTGATATATATTAATTATTTCACTTAACTTATTTTTCTATTGGTCTCAAAATGATTATTAGTTCAGGATAACCTTAGTTCTGTCATGACAACTCTCGGAGGGATTGGCATGGTAATGTACATGACAATGTTAATGTATTTGGTCTTGGCGGAATAGATCTGCTACGCTGCTGCTGCGGCAGAGCAAGTACCGATACTTGCTACTGCCAATACATCCACAACATGCTGCTGTGAGCATGTAAGAAATATTGCTGCTGCAAATATAACATACATAAAATAACCCCCATATAGCATACATGAATCACCTCGTAGCAGATCTATACAGGTGGAGCTGGGGAAGGTGAAGGGTTTCTGAAGCAAGCTGCATTTGCTACGGCAAGCACTAGTCATATATTTGAATGTTGAGCAGCGAGCTCATTGGCTACCGATACAGGAGAGAACCAGTCAGCTGTGCCATGTCATAATGATGTCATTAGGTCAGATTGAGTTAGACCTATCGGACTGCGCCATCTAGAGTTTCATGCCAGAACTCTGTATTTCTGTGGAACAAAAGTCCTGTTAACTTACCTCTTCTCATCCTCCACCTGGATACCCACGGACTGATACTGTGGGAGACCTTTACTATCGGTCTCAGAATCTGTGGCTGCTTCCACCTGAAGAATAAGGAAGGGAAGAGATAAAAAGGAAAACATAGTGAATGAGAATATATATTTAATAAATAGGACTGAGTATCTGAGGTGAACCAGAGAAGTAAGAAAATATTGCTGCAAGCTGCAATTATGGGGCCAAAGACGCTAAGATTATGCACACTGCATTAAGCATGATCCAAAGAAATAAAGCACTGTGACTTTTATGTTAATTATTGCTAAGTTTGCAATTTAACCATTATAAGTTACAAGTAAGTAATTCTTATGTAACACTTATGGTGTGTTTTCATGTTAAGTTTGATTCAGTATGCCAAAGTGTCGTTTTAAAACTTCTGATCAATATGGTCTTAAGATGTATTTACCTAAATTTGGAAAAGATCAAATAAAGGCTATCGGAGAAGTTTCAAAATTGTAAAAAGTGGAAAATCTAGTTGGGTGGAAATCGAAACCACCTGTATGACTGATGGCATGAATCAAGGATTCACAGAAAAAAATATTGATTCTTGGCCTAATGGTTTTAAGAAGATCCATTGATGATGTTAGAGCATTTGAGACTCCAAATTTACCATGATATAAGCTGAGATGTTCCTCTATAATTGTTGTACAATATGATTCTAGTGATTGCCATAGACTCCCAGCCAGTCCGAACAATAATAACAAAACTAACAGATACAAAATTGGTTTCGCACATTCAGTGAGTAGTAATGTAAGTTTCAAGGCAATGCCTACAAAATACAGTATTTCTAAAGTAATACAATGTCCTGTGGGTGACATGAACACATTAGCACAGACCCAGAAGAGAAAACAACAGCTTAGAGGCACACATATGAGACTTTCCTTAAAGAGCTGTCATTTCACAGACACTTTGTTATCTCAAGCGATTTATAGCACACTTGCTATATGGACAGCCCCCTAAAGCAGCCTGCTCAAGAGCCCAATGGAGACACGGGATCCCAGTAACCAGTGTTGAGGGTAACGCATTACAAGTAACATGAGTTACCTAATCAGACTACTTTTTTTTTCCAAGTAACTAATTACTTTTTAATTTACAAGAACATTTCTGGGTTAACTTTTCAATAAAGTAATGACAGTTACTTTGTTTTCCCATTTATTGACTTGAGAGAACTCGAGAGTGTGTTGTGTGTAAACATGATGCTTACTGTAGTTCTAGACTAAATGTGAACATGCATTTATTCATCTCACTTGCACAAAAACAGATACAGTATTTCTCAAAATGAATAAAAACAGTGAAATGCAAACAGTGAAATGAATGACACAAACCTGCAATAATTAAATGTTAACACAAATATCCTTTTATGTATTTAATCCCATTTTATTAACCAATGTCTTGCTGCTGACCTTTGATGATCCAATTCAACCATACTAATAAAAAATTATTTTATTATTATTATTTATTTATTATTATTTTGCTTAAGAGTGTTGAAATTTCTTCTCCTGTGTCCTATTCTTCATGCATTTTATTTTTCAAGAAAGCCCAGCCCATATGGGAAAAAGTTAGGCAAAAGTAATGTAACATTACTTTCCATAAAAAGTAACCAAGTAATGTAATTTTGGGGGAAGTAACACAATATTGTAATGCATTACTTTTCAAAGTAACTTTCCCCAACACTGCTAGCAACCTGTTACAGTCCATTAATGGACTATACAATACTTTCCTAGACTGTAACCAAACATTGCAGATATGGTTTATTGCTAGGTAAAAGCCTTTCATACAGTAAATGGACCTTCCTCTGATTCCTGATTTCCTTATTTCATATTATTATTAGTTCTGGCAGTGACAGCTAGTTTCTTCAGCATCCAGAGTAATGCTGTAGTCCCTGTAAATTGCATCATGAACATACAGTGATGCATTTTAAAGTTTAAAAATGTTCTGGAGGTTTATGACTTATTGATTATTCATTTTGTATCTCTCATCTAGTGCTGTAAACATAGAAGACTTTAAAATCAAGGCTAAAATCATCTAAACTCACTAAAATGCATCTATAATTTGAATTTATTCTCACCTCCAAGGGGCCAAATACTGATGCCACATGTTTTTGTTCAGAAATGGTTAGGTTTAGCAGAAGGGGGTTGTGTTTGATGCTCTAAAATGTTCATTTATAAAGGAGAGATTTGCCATTTCAAAATTCAAAATTCACCAATATGTCATTCCAAACCTATACAAACAAGTCTCATTGGTTCTTAAGTCTCAAGCAAGCACGTTTGCGCTTCTAGTTTGATGTGCTTTATATACACTGAACAAAATTATAAACGCAACACTTTTGTTTTTGCCCCCATTTTTCATGAGCTGAAGCGTGAATGGTGTCGTGTGGGTGAGCGGTTTGCTGATGTCAACGTTGTGGATCGAGTGGCCCATGGTAGCGGTGGGGTTATGGTATGGGCAGGCATATGTTATGGACAACGAACACAGGTACATTTTATTGATGGCATTTTGAACCCCCAATAGAATAAAACTGCACATTTTAGAGTGGCCTTTTATTGTGGCCAGCCTAAGGCACACCTGTGCAATAATCATGCTGTCTAATCAGCATCTTGATATGCCACACCTGTGAGGTGGATGGATTATCTCGGCAAAGGAGAAGTGCTCACTAACACAGATTTAGACAGATTTGTGAACAATATTTGAGAGAAATAGGCCTTTTGTGTACATAGAAAAAGTCTTAGATCTTTGAGTTCAGCTCATAAAAAATGGGGGCAAAAACAAAAGTGTTGCGTTTATAATTTTGTTCAGTGTATGTGCATTCATCAATGTTTATATGTGAATAAAAGCCTAAATGAAATGTTTATCATATAAAGTGATTGTGTCTTTTTAGATGCCTTGGATTTTACAATCTCTTCGAGTGTTAAAGTTTTGGTGGATAGACTTCCAATAGATGGACAGAAATCTTTAAAAAATCTTAATTTGTGTTTTTGATGAACGAAAGTCTTATAAGTTTGGAACATCGTGAGGGTGAGGAAATGATGACAGAATATTCATTTTTGGGTAAAACCCTTTTAAGTGTGTATAATGTGACAACTGTGGCTATTCAAATTGTAATTCATAACCCAACATATCATGTCATGATGACAAAATGATTTGTCCATTGAGTGTTGCTCAAACAGTAGAACATCACGCTCGCAACGCCATGGTCTTAGATTCGATTGCCACTGAATGCAAGAACTGATAGAAATATATGTAAAATTCGACCGCAATGCAAGTCGCTTTGCATACAAGCGTCTACCAAATGTAAAGGGTGATTTTGGACAGTATCGTATGTCTTGGGAGTGAAAACAGGTTGAAATGCCAGCATCATTAGAAAATCACAGGTAGTTGAATTTGATCAACGAAAAAATTTGTACATAGTATAGCTTTAAGAACACCACAAGCTACCAGGATAAATCTTTTGCAAATGGAATAATGTGTATAGTGAGTAAATTGGACAGTGCTTGAAGTGAGCTGGTACTCTGTGGTATCTGCATTATTCATGCATCCCAGCAGCTCATATAAACTGCAGATATTCTCTTTTGTTCCTCCTTTACAATGCAGTCTCACTAGACAAAGACTGTTTGTCTTGCAATGTTCTGACTATCCACATTAAATCTGAAGCATACTGTAGCTTAATCTGACAAAGAACAAATCATTCTGATTTGATTTTAAGGGATGTTTAGAGTGGGGCAATACACTGTGCATTAAAGGTATTAGTTTGGCAAACATATCTCATTTACTTTCAACTAACTTCCATGAACAAAATCCTTGAATGTATAAAACATTCAGTGTCATAAAAAGACAATTGTTTTCCCTCAGCAAGCAAATAGGTCACACTTTCTTTCGACATTTCGACCTCTTTTCGACATTTTACTAACTGTAAGTAACTTTGTGACTAACTAACTCTCATTAGAATATTAGTAGACTGTCAGGTTATGGTAAGTAGAATAAGTTACACATAGTTAGTAGAAAGTCTAAAGTGGACTATCAAAATAACATTACCAGTTTTTCTTTTTTTCTTTTCTTTTCTTAAGAAATTAATACGTTTAATCAAGCAAGGACACAGTTGATAAAAAATGACAGTAAAGACAAATATAATGTTACAAAAGTAATAAATAACATTTTAAAATCTATCAAAATGAAAAAATGGAAATAAATGGAATAAATTAGAGGGGGGGGGGGTATTTTGCTACAGTTGTCAGCACTGAGATGACGTGCTGCTGCTCTCCTGCTCCGGTCAGTTCTGGCTTGTGCAACCAAACCCTGGTGCTAATCCAGCTTGATTCTTTGATGGCAATGAAGCCTTGGAAGAATCAAGCTGCCCTTAAAATAATAATATTAATAATTCTAAAGAAGGAATTATAGACCTACTGCATGACTTTGCAGCACCTGCAGGGTACTTGTATTTGCCAACATGACAAAATACCTCAGTGTGGTTAAATGTAACAATCTACATATGATGTGCCAATCAAAACCATGGGCTCTAAATAGCACACTATTATAAAACTACTGAATGAGTCACAGACTGAAGGGAAAAATGTGGGAGAGAGACGTGTGATTCATACAGAGGAGTAAAACACTTCCAAAAATAGAATGTAGGGTTGTATAAGAGAGGAAAACAAAAATCCATTCATGACCTGTTGTATTGATGCTCTGTGTCATAATTGATTCTGTCATCAGCATGTCGAACACTTCATCAGCTGTGATTAAAAATGAAAACTCTCAGAGCAAGAGAATATGACTCATCTCTGCAACTACTCTCTGGAAGCGTGGAAGATTTAAAACTGTTACGAATGTTAAAATATTTTCTCATATCACGGCTATATGCAGAGACAACCATACGGACACATCTTAATATCTTTTATACATTTTCACCCTGCGTTCTTTTGAATCGGAAATAAAACATCTGTTGCAGGACTCATCACTTTACGTACATATGAACTCTTCTATGACCAATGGCAGATGGTTGAGGAATATTCAGATTTTTTATTTTTTCAATTTGTTTGGAAATGAACAGCACTTCAGCTTAACAAAATTGTAACAGACTTTAATAAGAATTATCCTTAATTTCTCTATTTGTTTTGCGTTGCCTTTGATATATTTTGTACGTTAAAAATGGTCTAAGGGTCGCATTATTTCCGTTGTTCATGGGGGACTTTTATTCTGAAACGGAATCTGCTTTTCACTGCTCGGAGAGTAATGAGAAATGGTATGGAGAGCGAACGCTTCATGACGGCTTAACAGAACTCGTGCATGAAAGGACGGTTTATAAGTTTATTCAGCACCCCCCGAAAAGGCATAAGGTTTGTGTATTTGTATACTGTTAGTTAAAACAAATATTTGTGAAAATCGCTGAATATGTCTAATGGCTTATCGCTTCATTCAGCTCTTACGGTGATTTCTTGACTAAACGGACAAGTAATAAAACTTCAAATCATCAGTAAAGTTTCGGCCATCATTCGGACGGGGTCCGCTACAGTAAGAGCTTCACCTTCGCTGGTTCAGATCCCCGATGCACGTGCAAGCTCAAGATGGCAACGTGACGGTCATTAACAGATTGCTGCACGTCCGAATCAGCGTGATGGTCTACGGAGCTGAGACGCTGTAGTCAACGAGTTCACTATGGAAATGGATACGGACGAACAAGAATCTGAAAGCCTGCTCCAGACGGAAACAGAAGGTGAAAAGGATATAGAAGGAGCCGTTAAATTTAAAGATAAAAATACTTCAGAACTTCAGAGTCATGTGCAAGATAGAGCAGAACTCCCTCAACGCTCAGAACGTCCACATATGCTCACGGAGAGAATGCTTGCTTATCAGAAAGATGAATGTTGTAAGAAAGAAAAAAGGTTAACCACTTTGTATGAGCAATGGAAGTTAGAAGCTCGTAAAGCAAGACAGAACTTAAAAACAGACATAACGGATAAAGAGCTGGCTGAAATTGCTGACTCTCTTGATGACAAAAAGAATAACAGAAGTCCTTGTAAGGTTCAGAAGGCATCCTATAGCAGTAACTTGTGACATTGAGAAAATGTTCCACCAGTTCCACGTCCAAGAAAAGGATTGTGATTATCTGCGCTTTTTATGGTGGAAAGATGAAGACACAAATTCAGTGCTTCAAGCTTACCGAATGAAAGTGCATCTATTCGGTGCAGTGTCTTCGCCCAGTTGCGCAAACTATGGATTAAGATATCTAGTCAATGAGTACAGTCAATCACACGCATTAGGAGCTCAGTTCATCATGAGAGATTTTTATGTCGATGATGGAGTTACAAGTGCAGAGACAGTAGAAAAGGCCATTCAGTTGACAAAAGAAGCACGGGAGCTGTGTGCAAAGGGTGGTCTTCGACTTCATAAGTTCGTATCAAATGACAGCACTGTTTTGCAGAGTATACCAGCATCAGAATGTGCTGTAAACTTTGAAACAAAAGATCTCACCTACATTGACATGCCGCTTGAGAGAGCTTTGGGTATTCATTGGAACATACAGAGTGATAGCTTTAAATTTCATATCCCACTAAAAGGTCAACCTACAACTCGCCGTGGCATACTGTCAACTGTTGCCTCCATATATGATCCTTTAGGCTTTGTAGCGCCATATGTTCTCAACGGCAAGAGGATCCTGCAGGAAATGTGTCGCCAAGGTACAGGCTGGGATGATCCGCTCTCCCCTACACTCAGCCCACGGTGGGAGAGATGGCAGAATGACTTTGTCAGTTTGGAAAAAGTGAACATACCACGATGTTATGTACCTGCTGAATTTGGCAAGGTTGTGAAGACAGGAAGACAGAATTTCTCTGATGCGAGTACCTGTGGTTACGGTCAGTGTTCTTATATGAGAATGATAAATGAGAACGATGAAACGATGAAATCTTTTCTCATTGGCAAAGCCCGGGTTTCTCCTTCAAAGATTATTACAATCCCTAGATTAGAGTTGACGGCAGCTGTGGTATCAGTCAGAATGAGCAATATGCTCAGAGAGGAGCTTAACCTCACCAATGTCGACGAATTCTTTTGGACCGACTCAAAGGTGGTTCTGGGTTACATAAATAATGATGCCCGCCGTTTTCACACATTTGTAGCCAATAGAGTCCAAAAAATACGTCAAAGCACAGAACCTAAACAATGGCTGTATGTCCCAACGGATGAGAATCCAGCAGACAATGCTTCTAGAGGGAGAACAATAAGGGAACTGCTCTCATCTAACTGGTTCTCTGGTCCCTCATTCTTGTGGGAAAGGGAAATAACGACCTCAAATGTCGTGCCGGATCTCCCCGTAGGAGACCCAGAAGTAAAGAAAATTCAGACATTGCAAACAAAGACCACGGAAAGTAAAGATCTTGTAGACCATTTGTCCAAGTTCTCGTCTTGGTCTAAAACTATCAAAGCCATCGCGCGCCTTCTGAGATGGATTAAGAAGGATAAAACAAATTTACCGGCTTCTGTAAGTGAACAAGAGGATGCTAAATGTTTGATTCTAAAAGGAGTACAAAAGCAAATGTATCAGAAAGAGATTGATGTGTTGAGTCGAGGAAAACAACTTCCAAGTCATAGTAAACTTCATCACTTGGATGCCTTCATAGACAAGGATGGTATGATCAAGGTGGGAGGTAGACTAAGTCACTCATCATACACTCATTCATTTAAGCATCCACTGATCCTTCCCAAAGAGCATCATGTAACAAAGCTGATAATTGCACACTGTCATGAAAGTGTAAAGCATCAAGGTAAAGGTTTCACAGTTAATGAAATCAGATCGTGTGGCTATTGGATACCGGGAATAAATAGAGCTGTCACATCTTACATTCGCAACTGTGTAATACAAAATGAAATTATAAATGTTCCAAAAATGTATTTGCTGAAGTGTCACATGACCAAGATATAAATATTATTATTTTATATTTAGAATCCTATTTTGTGTACAGATATTTACACAAGGTCTCAAGATCGCATTGTGGGATACAGTCCCTCATATGATGTGCTCTGTTAAAAGCTACATATTTCAGCAAATGTATAGTAGTGATCATCTGGATATTCCATGCATATAGCAATTTTGCATACTGTGCACTGTATATTTACTGTAGTACAAGTAGGCTACTCAGATAGCACACATACGTCTGCAAGATCTCTGTTAAAGATCGCTTAATCTGGAAAGCATCTGTTGTGTACAAAACATCTGATAGATGTCTCTAAGATGTCAGTTTTACATACATTCTAAATCATAAACATCTTAAAGTGGCATCTCCTATAGATGTATTGTAGATGAGCAAACACTCTAAAAAAAAACTCAAATAGATGTCTCTGTGATGTACGTGTGCTATCAGGGCAATATTCTATACGGAACATATTACTTTCCTAAAGGATAGTTCTGGTTCTTAAATCTCATGAGCAATGTTCAAAACCACTTAAAGAAAAAAGAGCTTGTCTGACAAATTTAAACAGCCTACAGTTCTTACTTGATGGAACAACTGTTCACCGCATAACATCACGCCTAACCACAATAACTCCACCAACTGGTAAAATCATAAGTGTGAACTCCCTACACAGGCAGTATAAATGTGTGTGTTGTATAAATAGTACTCATCAAATTAAGTATGTGGAAGACTCACCTATCAAGATTTCCATAGAGTCTGACATTAGCATATTACTAAGCTAACAACAACAACATGGTCTAATAAGCATAAAATAAATAACATGCACACATATTTGGTTAAAATAATTTAGACTGAACTAATTATATAGTTGATATAATATATGTCACCACCACTACTGTGGTATACTACTGTATCCATAAACTGATATTTAAAAGCTTGGGGTAAGTAAGATATTACTATTTTAAAATTGTAATAA